CACATGGGAGAATGACCCTACTTAGCTCCCTCATACTGAGTCAGACCATCAGTCGCATTAGCTCTGGATCATCCGCACTGACCAGTGGCAACCCTCCCAAGAGCAAACGCCGGTAGAGCATCAAATGTTAATTTCCTTTATTTGAGTAAAGGTAAAGGGACCCCTGACCATTAGGTCCAGTCGTGGCTGACTCTGGGGTTGTGTGCTCATCTCGCTTTATAGGCCAAGGGAGCCGGCGTACAGCTTCCGGGTCCTGTGGCCAGCATGACTAAATGCCGTTTACCTTCCTGCTGGAGCAGTACCTATTTATCTACTTGCACTTTGACATGCTTTCGAACTGCTAGGTTGGCAGGAGCGGGGACCGAGCAACGGGAGCTCACCCCGTCGCGGGGATTCAAACTGCTGACCTTCTGATCGGCAAGCCCTAGGCTCTGTGGTTTAACCCACAGCACCACCTGCGTCCCTTCTGTATATTATTTACCTTTTATTTATTTAATGCATTTATATCCTGCCTTTAGCCCAAGCTGAGATTCAAGGCAACTTGCAAGGTTTTTTAAAAAATCATTATAAAATGCAAGTGAACAAAAGGGAATTAGTTAAAAGCAACAGTTAAAATACAGATTGCCCTGAATTTTACCTTTGTACAGTAGGCTAAATTTCTACCTGACCTTCTCTGGAAAAGCAAGCAAGATACATTATCAGGGTTCAAGGATGTATTTCAGCATGGCAAAAACTGCTGGGTTCCAAAACTGACCCAGCAGAATGTGTGGCCTGCAGAGAGCTCCCAGGGCTGAGGTTTCTCATCCAATATCCACCTATAATGCACATCTTTCAGAAGACTCAACGTATTGATCTGTCTTATTCACTCCTTACAGTTTTAGCTGTACACCGAACAAAAATCCAAGCTATGTCTGAAACCTTCCCATCAATCCAAAAATCCCACCTGTACGTTTTGTCATTTAAAATGTCGGTGACAACCCTAGGATAAATTGTTCTTTCTCTTAGGCTTTTACATCTCGGTTTTTCAAGGCATACTGAACCAGACAAACTGGTTCAGTTTGCGTTGTGTCCCGTCCCCCCCACACACACAGAGGGAGGGAGAGAGGGAAGGGAGAGAGAGAAAGCTTTCAATTAAAATCCATTTCATGTATTTTTCTTCATGAGCTCCTTTCTCGAACTATGGAAGTTCGCCACCGACGCTTCCCAGAAACAGGAAGCTAATGATTTTCTTTGGAGTATAATATGTAGATAATTAAGTTAATGTTTTTTTAGCAATTGGAGTGTTTTAACTGCCCTCAGACAATATATATCTCCCCCCCACCCACCCACCCCTCGCTCAATTCATGTAGTTAATTTAACCGTGCGTCTTCGCAACGGCAGAAAGAAAGAAATACAGTGGCTGGCATAATTGCAGCGCCATGTTCATCATTAGAGTTCAGAAACCATTCCTCTAAATCTTCGGCTTGGTAATTTCCTTCATAGCTTGGCAATTTAGGCACTTTTCTCGAGCTCCCCATGGTATTAAATGTCTGGTTTAAGTATGAAGGATTTGCTGTTGGCTTCTTCTGCTTGTTAAAATCTAAGTTGCACTGTGTAAACCTCTGCGTGAAAGCAGTGGCATTTAGGGAGGGCAGGAAAGGGGCTGGACTCCCTGCTCCAAATTGCAAATGACTTGTCGTTATTCCATATATATATATATATATATATATATATATATATATATATGACTCATAGAGTTGGAAGGGACCTAATGGTCATCTAGTCCAACCGCCTGCAATGCAGAAACCTCAGCTAAAGCATCCATGACAGGTGGCCAACCAACCTCAGCTTAAAAACCTTCAAGGAAGTCCACCACCTCCCGAGGGAGACCATTACACTGTTAAACAGCTCTTACTGCCAGAAGCTCTCCTGATGTTTAGTCGGAAATGTCCTTTTCAGTGTGGTGTAGTGGTTAAGAGCTATAGACTCGTAATCTGGGGAACTGGGTTCGCGTCTCCGCTCTTCCACACACAGCTGCTGGGTGACCTTGGGCCAGTCACACTTCTCTGAAGTCTCTCAGCCCCACTCACCTCACAGAGTGTTTGTTGTGGGGGAGGAAGGGAAAGGAGAATGTTAGCTGCTTTGAGACTCCTTTGGGTAGTGATAAAGTGGGATATCAAATCCAAACTCTTCTTCTTCTTTCTTGTAACTTGAAGCCACTGATTCATGTCCTACACTCCAGAGCTGGAGAAAATAAGCTTGCTCCATCTTCCATGTGACAGCCCTTCAGCTATTTAAAGATGGCTATCATAGCTCCTCTTCTCCAGGCTAAACATACCCAGCTACTTCAACCATTCCTCATAAGGCTTGCTTTCCACACCCTTGATCGTCTTAGTTGCCTACCTCCTTCAAGATCTGCAGAAACAGTTTCTAGAGCAGTCTTTCTGAACCTCCTGGACTCCAACTCCCATAATTCCAAGCCACCGTGGCTTGTGGTCAATGATGATGGGAGTTGTAGTTCAAAGAATGTCGGGGCACCCAAGGCTGAGAAGGGCTGCTCTAAAGGGTGGCATCATGGCTGCTGAACTTGATGGACGAGGACAAGTATCATGGCAGGTTTGAGGCCACATGGGCACAACAGCTAGGCTGTCTTCATCAGTCCAGCTTCTCTTACATCTCTGTAGCACCAACCTTGCTGCTATTTTGTCCCCTGCCCAGGTAAACGACAGCAGCTCTGTCCCACGGATAGGGGTGGAAGAGAAATTTGAAATTGTTTGCCTCTAAAGCAGCGGTTCTCAACCTGTGGGTTCCCAGATGTTGTTGGACTACAACTCCCATCATCCCTGAGCTCTGGCCTTGCTAGCTAGGGGTGATGGGAGTTGTAGTTCAACAACATCTGGGGACCCACAGGTTGGGAAAGGCTGCTCTAAAGGCAAACCCACCTAATTCACACTTTTTGAAACAATGCACCACTCAAAACACAGCTGCCTTTCAGAATCTGTCCATCTCTTAATTTTGTAGTGCAATTTTCTAGACAAGTAATGTACTCAAAGAATTGGACATGCTGTGGTCAAGTGTTCTAAAAATGAGCATCTTAGTGAAGTTAACATGCAAATATTTGCTCTACGTGGGGAGATTACTTGCAAAAAAAAAATGTGCCTGTTAAGTCAAAACTGCTCTGAAATATATGGCTATTTTGCAAGACACCGCCCCCAAACCTCCTCCAAAACAAATCACACAGGGCATAGAATATTTGTTTAAGATTTCTGGCATTAATTTGGCCACAACTTTATTTATTACAGCATGTGAGTGGTTGCTTAGGCATTGGTTCGGACTACCTGAACCTGCACCGGCAGGAACAGGACTGACAACTGGAACCTCCAGAGGTCAGTAAGGGAAAACATACTGTCGGAGCACAGAGGCGGATTTCTGCCTCTTCCTTCTCCCCAGATGCTCCCAGGAACTCTGGCATGGCGCTATCGCTGAGAGGGCATCGGACAGAGGAAATCGAGCCCCTGGATTCCTTTAACGGAATTCCCTAGTAGCAGCAGCAGCAAAAATGAGAGGCAGGCACAGCCAATCCATAATTCCCTCCACCAAAGAATGAACCAATGCCTAACTGCCAACCTTACAAAGTTGTGATGATTTGCTACACTGTAGGCAAAAACCAAATGGTACTAGCCAATCAGCCAAGTGGTAAAATTCCTACCGGGCCCCTGTTCCCAAAATAGATGACCCCTAGACGGGCAAACACGAGTCTGACCAAACTGTGGGAGACAGTGGAAGACAGAAGTGCCTGGCGTGCTCTGGTCCAGGGGGTCACGAACAGTCGGACACGACTAAACAACTAAACAACAACAACAGATGGGCATAGCAAGGTCAAAAACACAACCTTAAATTATAGGGAGGCAGGGAGGGAGATCCGCTGCATGATGTGAAAGAGAAAGTACTTCGCCTCGTGCCTTAAATAGCCCCTTAGTTGCGTGGCGAGTTCCAGCCTCCCCCATCAGAAATAAAGACACATGACACCAGTATTTAGGTTAATGGGTGAAAAATGGCCACAACTTTATTGGTTACAGGTGATGAGCAGTATTGGCTTAGGCATTGGTCCTAACTGACTATATCCGACTTCAGCCTGTCCGCTTGAAATCCGGGAAGGGTTAAGCACCAGTAGGGGCAGTCCTGCTGATGCACATCAACTAGGAACTCCCCCGGGGTCACCGCTTGGGGGCGTGCCTTAGGCCCTAAACTTCCTAGGCTTCAGACAGGGCCACCCCCCCGAATCCTTTAACGGACTACCCTTCAATATGCGGGGCAGGTGATGGCGCTTCCTCCCCCCCTCTCATCAACATAACAATACCCTTACCAATGCCTAACCACCAATACCCAGAAAGTTGTGACGATTTGCTACTAGGTAGGCGAAAAACCAAGTGGCTGGTGCCAATTTGCCAAGTGAAAAAAATTCCCACCGGGCCCCTTAACGTCGACCAACTGAGGTCCATAGCAAGGTCAGAAAGCCAGACCTAAAGGGTGGGGGGGTGGCAAACCGGAGCAGCTGGAGCAGCCGAAAGAGGGAGATCCCTGGCCGCGCCAGCCCTAAATAGAGTGGGCCATGCCCCCAGGCCAGCCGATTGGCTGGCCAGGGGATGACGCGGCCAGGGATTCCCTCAATCACACGGGGGCTGGGAGTCGGCCCCCGCGTACGTGGGGGTGTGTGTGTGAAGCCCGCAACCCCACCTCCTCTCCAGCTCGGAAGTGGCTTTGCCAATCAAACCCCAACCGACAGAAAATTATCCCCAGCAACAAAGGGGCAACCAATGAGGTGCGGAGGGCATCCAAACGGGCCCGCCCCAGCAACACGAAGGCAGTTTGGTGATTTGGAGGACACGATTTGGAGAAATTCTCACCAAAAAACGCTGATGAATTTTCAAGGATTTTGTTTAAAGAATTTGCACCTTGCTGGAGAGGTGTGAGGAACTGAAATTAAGATCAGAAAAATGAGAAACTGAGAGAAACAGTATGGGTAGCTTAGTGGCAGGACATCTGCTTTGCATCCAGAAGGTCCCAGGTTCAGTCCCTGGCAATTCCAGGTAGGGCTAGAATAGACCCATGTCTGAAACTTTGCCAGCCAGTGTAGACAATTCTGAGCTAGATGGACCATCAACTTGGCCCAGTGTAAGAGATCTTCTGATGTTCCTACGTTCTGAACCAAAAATAGTCCGATTCACCTATTCCTATGCGCCACACACACAGCAAAACTGATCAGCAGTCCCTGAATTCAGAAACCAGAGTATTAGGGCGTAGACATTTTAGATAGCTGCACATCTCTGGCTTGTCTCGGTTCTAAACTAACAATCCCCATCAGGACTCTTTATGGCACTTTAAACAGGGCCTGGCGCCTCTCTGGCATCAATACTGTTTTGCGAATGCTTGGTTCTATTTGTTGCTTTATGGGATAATGCCGCTAGTTTGACATTCCCCCATGCTCGTGGGACTTGAGAACTGACAGGAAATAAAACACTCAGTTGTCTTTTGGTCTGGGATGGATTTTTCCCCTTTGGTGAATAAAACATTTTTATCGTTTTTATCTATTTATTTCGGTTTTACTCTTCCGGCGCCATCTCAAAGGCAGGTGAGGAGGAGCGCCGGGGACCGTGCCAGCTATAAAATGTATCCCCTCAGTGTGCGAGGAAGCGCTCTAACTTTCTGTTATGCGCGTCTGAGACATAGGGTGCCTGCACATCAAACATCCTCCGAAAGACGTGGAGCCTTTTCGCAACAGGACAAAAGTGCTCCAGCAAATCTAATGTAACATAATATTTTGCCTCAGATATTTTTGTTTTGTTTTGAGCCACATCCCTAAGAGGAAATGAACGAAAAGCCATAGGGCTGCTTGTCATCAGACCGTGTTTGCACCACAGGAGATGGGTGCCAGGGGGAGTTAGGACCTTGGCTCAAATTCTGACCATGAGTTGGCAGTTGTAGAGTCTACTACAGTGGTACCTCTGGTTGTGAGCGGGATCCGTTCCGGAGCCCCATTCGCAACCTGAGCAGAATGCAACCTGCGTCTGCGCGGATCATGATTCGCCACTTCTGTGCATGCGTGTGACGTCATTTTGAGTGTCTGCGCATGCGTGAGCGGCGAAACCTGGAAGTAACCCGTTCCATTACTTCCGGGTTGCCGCGGTACGTATCCTGAAAGAATGTAACCTGAACAAACGTAACAAGAGGTATGACTGTATATAATTTGGAAAGAGACGAGTATATATACCTCTTGAGTCGTCATTGCCAAACTTGACATGAGGCTAGGGGCCACGCTCTTTGTTGATGTTTGGGTGCCAGCGGCCATTTTGAATCAAGATGGAGAACCGGAAAAGTGATTTTGGCATGACTTTGGCCATTTTACGAATAGGGTTAGTCAACTTTTGAGATATTTTCCACCAGACATAGGGCGAGGGTTCCTGAGGTGGGGGTGTTGTGCCTGCTTTGATGTTTGGGTGCTAGACGCCATTTTGAATCAATATGGCAGACTGAGTGAAGAGAGACTTTGGAATGACTGCATGCATTTTTGACATATATTTGGCCGCCTCTCAAGATATAGTCACCAAACATGGCCCATGGGTCAGCAAGGTGGGGGCAATGGACATTGTCCCCTTTTGGATGCCAGACACCATTTTGAATCAAGATGGAGGACCAAACAAAATCTCTTCAGGGTGACTTCACCTGTTTTTATGGCATAGATTCGGTCTCCTCTTGCGATTTCATCACCAAACTCAGCACAAGAATTCCTGACATATTTTCATATGTTATTTTCTCTAATATATTTGCCAATATATGCACTTCTATGCACACTTTATCTCAGTATGTGCATTTCTGTACACATTGCAAAATTTGGGGAAGAAAGGATTTTGAAGTATCACAGCATTTGAGTTCACATATTATTTCATGAAAGGCAAACTAAAAATGAAATGATTTGAAATTCTCTCTTATCCTCACCTATGATCACACCAAGATTATGACTGCATACAATCACACCAATATTGTTGCAATATGTTTTGTTTTTGCTGTTTGTTGCATGAACTTGAGAAGAACTGAAGGAACTTAGAACTGCAGCAAGTGATGTATATTCTCCAGTTCTTGAATTGATGTTTGAAAACCAGGATTCAAGATGAGTGGCGTTACCCAGGGGAACAAAAAGAAAGAAATGGGACAAAACGAATAGCCTTTCCTCTTTCGTAAGGGGGCAAATGGACATTTCACACACACACAAACCCAGTTCCTCATTTCAGCAGATAGAATAAAAGGAAACAACAACAACAACAACAACAACAAACAGCTGTAGATCAGGCCACACACACCAGGTGCACAAAGATTTATTATGCCAACACATTTGGAGAACCCAATCTCTTTATCAAGGGAGTTTTTTTGGACATCTTCACTCACTGGCCACCTGGTAGACTCATGTCAGCAGCAATCCATCTTAATTTTAGCTGAGGTCCCTTGGATTCATTAACTGGCTAGCAAGCTTGATCTCTATGTCCTCATGTGGCCTAAGTTGCTCCAATGCTGGACACAGCACTCTAGAGGAACATTTTGAAGTGCAGGAGTGCCTCACAAATGCCTCTATACCCACACTTCCAAGGAAATGTCCAAAACTGCAAGCAGCTGTTTGGCCAGCTTTGCCGCCCCCCCCCCCCAAGTGTTTTTGTCAGGCTCAAATATGTCATTGAAGCCAGACTGTTGACCAAGACCAGATGCTCCAGACATATAGCACCAATTCTGGCATGACTGCACTGGCTAACAATTACTTTCTGGGCTCAGTTCGAAATTATTTAAATTTACCAATACAGGGCAGTCTCTAGGTAAGTTGCAGCCAACCTTTAGTTCCCACTGGAAACACATCTACATAGCATAGTTGGTTAGAGCATGGCGCTGATAAATGCCAAGGTTGCAGGTCCGATCCCCGTAAGGGACAGCTGCATATTCCTGCACTGCAGGGATGATTCTATGAAGTCAGAATCCTGCAAAGAAAGTGTTGTAATTTAAACTACTAGCCTGAAACAGGAACACCAGAAAAGAAAAGGAGGGATGTATCTAGCCTCTGCTTGAGTATTTCTCCCTCATTCGACTTCCTCTGGGAAACAAACTTAAGGGACTCATCATCACCTCATTCACTTGCCAGAGCAAGGTGAATTCATCAGTTAACCCAGCATTCTGGCAGATGATGTCACTGTTGAAAGAAGACTGGAAGAAATTCAAAGACTATTTACAGAAATATTGTAAAATTAAGGAATCTTAGAAGGATGTTGGATAGAAACTAAGTGGTTTCCAGCTGTAATGCTTTAAGAGATACGAAAAAAGGTTTACAAATGGGTAAAAGCTTAATGGTAAGGATTTGCTGAACTAACAAACTGAACTGGAATACAAAAAAGGGAGGTACGAGGAGGTCCGGGGAAATAAGTCTAAGGAAGATAGGCTATGGAAAATTAACGTGTTTTTAACTGTTTTTATTCTGTATGTTTCTTTTTATTTTTCATTTCTTTGTTATATTTTAAAAACTTTATTCTTTTTTCTGTATTTTGTATTTTCTTGTATTTTTACTTTTTGTTTTTGTGTAATTCTTGTATTCTTTGAAACTTTAATAAATATCATTTTTTAAAAAAAAGATGATGCCACTGTTCCTGCTTGGGGTGGGAAGGGCCTGAAACTGCGCTCACTCATGTTCCTGCTCCACTATGACATGGGCTTGATGTACTCACTAGTACCCATAGTGAGTCCCCCCCCCCCACTGTCAGCAGACAGGGATCTAGAGTCTCAAATTTTGTGCAAAAAGACTCTTTCTCCGCCTCTCCCCCAAATCTACAGCAAACCTGTCATGTCACCTCGTTACTTTCCTTGCAGGCACTCCAACTTCCTAGTCTGCAGCTCTCCTTTCTCTCATGGGGAGTTTAGATTAGAAATTCCCCCATTTAGTCCCGCCGCCTCTCAGCTCAGTTGTGCCGTTTCATCCGTGGGATCAATCTGCTTTTCTGTTGCGCCCGCTTCTCTCTCCCTGACCCTGTGACCTTTGAGCAAATGAATCTATTTTTTGCTTCTGAAGATCGGATGGCAGATAACACAGTTATTAAGGATTGCTTTCTCTTGCTCTAATAATGACAATTCAGCCTTCGATATATTGTCCAGGGGCCCCCCGAGTTATTCTCTGCACTACGAATTCTAATATGTTGATGCAGAATGGGGAGGCTCAGAAATATCAGGAGCAGGTTGGTCCGACTTCAAAGTATTACAAGTGCATTGCCATAAGAAAATAAGAACTCCGCTGACAAGCTCCAGAGTGAGAGTCTTTTGCTCTGGCGCTCTGGAGCGAGGTGCCACACCAGACCCAAAAATGGGGTATTTCAGGATCCAAACAGAAGCCAGTTTTGGCTTCTGTGAGTCCAGGATGTCCCGCTGAAAACAGAACAATTGAGGGGTTTGCTTTAACCAGTCGTGGCTCCCTCAAAGAATCCTGGGAGCTGGAGTTTGTCAAGGGTGCTGAGAGCTGTACTCACTAGTACACACTAGTGTAGTACACAAACACACCAGAACACACACACACCACAGAGCTCCAATTCCTGGTGTGATTTCACAATCAATCTATCTTCACAGGGAATTCTGGGAATTGCAACCCTGGGAGGGGAAGAGGGATCTGTTAACAGCTCCTCACTAGATGACCAGTGGCCCAATCTGGCAGGGCTCATATTATCTCTTCCTTCCTTCCTTCCTTCCTTCCTTCCTTCCTTCCTTCCTTCCTTCCTTTTTACAAGTAAGCAGAACAACAATGTAAATAAAGAGACCAGCATGGAAACTGTAAGCACACAGGAAAAGGCAAATACAGTGCAATTCCTCCAATAACTGAAATACTTTATTGTCACTTGTACAACTTCTATACAGTGAGATTGCACGAGCACCCCCCACTCAGCTCTCTTAGTCTTAATTCCCCTCGTTTACCGACGCACACCCACCAAACCCAAAAGTCAGTTGCCCTGTTGTTATCTTTTCATTCAGCAGCCTAACAGCCCACGGATAGAAGGGGTTCTTTGCCCTGTTGGTGCGACTAATCATGCTTCTATATCTTCTGCCCGAGGGCAGGAGATCAAGAAAGTGCCAGCCAGGGTGTGAATCATCCCTTAGAATTTTCCTCACTCTCCTGAGGCAACGTTCTTCTGCGATGTCATCCAGTGGATTCACGGGACAGTCCATAATATCTTGTGCTGTATTCACCACCCTCTGTAGGCACTTCCTATCAGTTGATGTCACACCAGCGTACCACACCGTGATGCAGTATGAAAGGACACTTTCTATTGTGGACTGGTAGAAGGAGATCATCAAATGTTGATTGACATCGTTCTTTCACAATACTCTGCAATAATGCACAGAAATGGGGAGGAAATTAATACCAATGGAATAGCCACACACTTAAAACTACAAAAATGCCCCATCTATTTGCTAGTATTTGAGTTTAGCTGCCATACTGTTCAGCACTGTACTTAACCAAGCCCATTCCTTTTCTGCCTTGCTAATTTGGTGTCCTGTCTGCTTCTTAGTTTACTTGCTGTCAAAACGTCTCTGGTTTTTTGTTTTTGTTTTTAATAAAAAAGAATGTGTGCCCTCCCCCCAAGAAAAAGACGAACAAACTTTGAGACTGCTTCAGGAACCCAAAATCCTCAGAAATGGCACCTCATTACATGGAAGCCCAGAGGCAGCCTTTATAGCCCAAAGAAGACTGGTGGGTTTCCCGCTGGCAGATGCCATTTAACAAGCAATCTGCTAGGTTGGAGCTTGCCTTCTGCTTTTAAGTGGACCCCAGATAAGATCAGAAGCCCCTTGCAATACATAGCCGGAGCTCAAATTGACACGAGGTTATAGCACAAACTAATGTAGAGGTGGAGAGAGAGAGAGAGACTCTGTTTTGGCATCTCCCCTGAATTAATGAAGGTTGCTGGTAATGCGATGTGCTGCTCTTATGAAGATGCTGAGGCATGTGGAGGATTCAAAGAGAGCAAACTGCTCAATATTCGGTCAGGCCATCAGTCCTTCTTCTTCTTCTTCTTCTTCTTCTTCTTCTTCTTCTTCTTCTTCTTCTTCTTCTTCTTCTTCTTCTTCTGTGATCACTTGTAGCCGAGTAAGATTGTCTTCCATAAACACGGTTTTAACAATGAGTCCGTAAGTGACTGTGGAGGCTAATTCTGGATCCACACGTCCTTCCACAGTGGAGACATTGGTTTCCGGGCGGGAGTTGATCACGGTGAGGGTTTGCCAAGGGTGCCTTCCTCTCCGCACGTTTCTCCCTTGCGTCCAGAGTTCGAGTGTCTTCAAAGCCCATGACACCTTTGGTAAAGGCTGTTCTCCAACTGGAACACTTGCAGCCCAGTGTTTCCCAGTTGTTGGTGTTTATACTGTACTACTTTTTTTTTAGATTTGCCTTTAGAGAGTCTTTAAACCTCTTTTGTTGACCACCAGCATTACACTTTCCATTTTTAAGTTCAGAATAGAGGAGTTGCTTTGGAAGACGACAATCAGGTATCTGCACAACATGACCAGTCCAACAAAGTTGATGTGGAAGAATCATTGCTTCAACACTTATTTCACCTACAGAAGCTGAGCAGATCAACAGTCAAATTTTATTTCAGCATTAGTGATGGGATGGTGTCCTCTGCTCAGTGGTGGCTGTCATAGTTGAGATGTCCCAGCCCATGGCCTGGGGCACCCCCTAAGCTCAGTGCCCTGTGCAGCGGAACCGGTCACACTGCCCTAAGTCCACCTCTGTGCCCATTGAGAGTGGGCACAGATTCCTGGGAAACACAATTCCTGCGAAACACAAGCAAGAGAATGTTGTGCTCATATCCTGCCAGAGATAGTCTCATTATGCCCAAAAATAGGGCCGGTCCCTGCTGGCTGCAGCTCTCCAGAGTCCCAGAAAGGTGTCATTTTGAACTAGAATGTTTTGCATCCCAAGCACATGCTCTGCCACTGAGCTATGAGCCTTCTGGAGAGTAAGTACATAGTTCAAAAAGGGGTGTTCAAACATAACATTCAATAGGTGTACAATCTTGTGTACCTGTGTATATACAAATAGTAGAGCTGGACACCCCTACAGTTATTCAAATATAACCCAGTCACCCATCTGACTGGGTTTCAACTCTGGGCAGCTTCCAACAGAATATAAGGAACACAATGAATCATTACACATTTAAAGCTTCCCGGTACAGGGCTGCCTTCCGATGTCAATGGAGAGTTGCATAGATTTGCTATAAAATAGGAATGTTCACACATTACATCTGATAATGTCCAGTGACAAAAAAAAGCTGAACAGTACACAGTTATTCAGGTGTTCAATGAGTGTAAAGTCTGTGCATCTGGGTACACCAATAGTTAAGGCTAGACCTGGATAGCTCAGCTGGATAGAGTGGGGTGCTGATAACGCCAAGGTTTCAGGTTCGATCCCCATATTGGACAGCTCCATATTCCTGCGTTGCATGGGGTTGGATTAAATGGTCTTCAGGGTCCCTTCCAATTCTACAATCCTATGGATTTATGTACAAATCGACAAGCGTATTCTTTCAGAAGCACACATACATGGATAGAGAGAGCTTCTTCCTGTCTTCAGCATGAAATGTAGACAAGCCAATGTAAATAAATGACTGTGGCTCCTCATTTGGACCCTGAGTTATTTCCCTGCTTCTTTTCCAAGACATGCGAAAGGAACTGCTCTCCTCTTTCACTTTGCTTTCTTTTCCTGGGGCTGGAGACCGGTGCCAAAAGCAGGATCTGGGGCTCACTGCCTTACCACAAATGAAACCCTGTTTCAGTTTATCAAAAGAACAGTAGGCGAGACATTAGCACAATGAATAAATAAATATTCACACTTCAGCGCTTCTCTGGGATTGCTCCCTGTTAAGCAGATTTCGATCTTGTAGAATGCAGGAAAAGAGACTGTTGATATTCTTTAAACATATATTGGGACATCCCTGCTTCCTTGTAAAGTATCCCATGCGTGCGTTTATAGCAGTGCAGTAATTAAGACAGAAATCGCTTCAGGATGTTTGATGTTTAAAGCTGTAAATTATACTTCTCCCAAATAAAAGAAGGAAGAATGTGCCTCACGCTAGCCAAGATTCCTGTTATTTTTGATCACGTAGAAGACATTTACATTAACGATGGTGGATCAGAATACTAAGTTTTCTGGTATGCAATATTCAGCTGTGTTGCGATTTGTACCGTTTCCCTGAGAAGGTCTTACCTGGTTTCAGGGCCGGCCAGTCTGTGTGGTAAACTGAGGCAGATGCCTCAGGTGACTGAATCCAAGGGGAACCTCTACTGGTGTGCTCCCTGCCTCCACTACCAGAGAAGCTTTGTGGTAGATTCTGGGTTCGAGCAAAATCTCGCATTGGCCCTGCAGCATCTCAAGGGAGCTCTGTGAAATCACGCTGAGGCCTCGTGTGACCTTCCCAAGGCCCTGGCAAGTGAGGCAGAGCTTGCAGACCTTGCAGTGTTGCCAGGTCTCATGATGTGCTTTGCAAGATATGACAGTCAGCTGACTATCAGGCCTTGCAGAGCCCTTTGCATGGAACTTTGAACAGGGCTTTACAAATGCCACCGATTGGGCGATTCCCTGCAAAATCAGACAATTGCCCGCAAGCGGCCTTTACCAAAGGTGTCATGGGTTTTGAAGGTGCTCAAACTCAGGATACAAGGGAGAAACGGGCTAAGAGGAAGGCACGCTTGGCAAACCTTCACCGTGATCAACTCCCAAGCAGAAATCTATGTCCGCACTGTGAAAGGACATGTGGATTCAGAATTGGCCTCCACAGTCACTTGCGGACTCACTGTTAAGACCGTGTTTATGGAAGACAATCTTACTCGGCTATGAGGGATCACCAAAGAAAGAGAAGACATTTTAGATTAGCTGTTGCAGATGAGCTGTAGGCAGTGGCATAGCATGGGAGACTACAGAGGTGGTTGACCCAGGCGCAAAATTGTGAGGGGCACAGTATTTAAACACCTGGTGCTGCCTCAAGACAGCTGTGTACTTCAGTCACTGGGCTCCATTGAAAACGGCTTCTCCATGCAAACCAGAAAGCGACCTCTCCAGATAATGGAATAACTCTTCTTTTCTTATCTTTGTGGCTACGATCTCTTGGGTGATACAGACGCCGTTAGGCAGTTGAATGTGCATGCATACTATGTCCGTTTCCCAACCAGTGACCCACCCCCTATGTGCAGCCCCAGGTGCTCACAACCCATGCTGTACACCACTGGCTGTAAGGTTCTCCTTTTGGTAGCAGCTGTAGGACTCTTGGTGTTGACATTTCTATTCCACCTTAAGGAACAGGCATGTGGAATTGTTGCATGTCACATGTCTGTTTACATTCCAGCACAGTATGCTGGGAACTTCCGTTTGTGCATAGCTTTTGCTGTTCTCTCCGAGATGACATGAGAGAGAGAGACGACATGTTTCTTTGTTCTGATTTATGTTTAATAAATCTGTAGCTGTAGCATGACTTGTGCCTCACGCCTACTTCTGTGTGCGCAGTACACTCTGCTAATTGTGTGCCCTGGCTTTTGAAGTTCGGGTCGCTGATTTACGTCGGAACATGGGCCAATGGAAGGAGACGTCCGAGCTGGGCTTGCCAGCTGGCCTCCCGGCCGCTCTGCATGTTGACACTTTGAACATCTAGCTTCAGCCTAGGAATCAAATGCAGACTAGAAATTGCATTCTCATTGTGCTCTGCTGTGCATCCATTGGCCAGCGCAAGACCCTCTACCATTTACTAAATGCTTTTAGTTTAATGGTTCTGTGCCATTATCAGGGAGAATACTAACGTATCCTATATGTGTGTGGAGAAGGCTAGAACATGTTGTGCTCTTCCAGTGCAAAAAAACACTTTAAAACTGCAGGCAGAAACCACCCCTGGGTATCCTCTACAGAAGTCCGCAGCAATTATTCCAAACCATGGTCTTATCATGGTATTTCTCTCTCCTCTCCTTCCCATCCCAAGGCAAACTATAAGCCCCCTCCCCTTTGCAGATCTCTCTGCTTTCAAAGGCAGGAAACATTTTCTCACTACCCCCCCCCCGCCTTTTTCAACTTTTTCTCTCATTTGATTGTCACTTGGCTGAAATATAAAGAGCATTACAGCTTGTGGGAATACCAATTAGAGCTAATTATAACCTGACTGATCTGCCTTAGCATGAGAATGCCTCATCAAATGATTTTCTCTCCCTCTTTCTCTCTCTCTCTCTCTTTCTCTTCAGCACACATGTACATTTACAGACTAGCTTCATTTTCTGCTCTACAGACTCAACCACAGTCACTGCCAACGTCTGAAGCAGGTGCACATTTGGGAATATTCACATACAACTGTCACATAAAAACTGCCTCCAGCAAAATTTGAAGGTGGCAGTTGGATAATGACTCGGGGAGGTCCAAACGCAAAACCAGATGAGGTCCAAACACATCCCCTTCTGAGCCAAACAACAACAACAATAATAATAGTAATTTATTATTTATACCCCGCCCATCTGGCTGGGCTTCTCCAGCCACTCTGGGCGGATTCCAAAAAATATATATATTAAAATACTGTAATACATCAAACATTAAAAGCTTCCCTAAACAGGGCTGCCTTCAGATGTCTTCTAAAAGTCTGGTAGTTGTTGTTCTCTTTGACATCTGGTGGGAGGGCGTTCCACAGTGCGGTGCCACTACCAAGAAGGCCCTCTGCCCGGTTCCCTGTAACTTGGCTTCTCACAGTGAGGGAACCATCAGAAGGCCCTCGGTGCTGGACCTCAGTGTCTGGGCTGAACGGTTGGGGTAGAGACGCTCCTTCAGATATACTGGACCAAGGCCATTTAGGGCTTTAAAGGTTAGCACCAACACTTTGAATTGTGCTCAGAAACGTGCTGGGAGCCAATGTAGGTCTTTCAAGACCGGTGTTATATGGTCTCAGCGGCTGCTCCCTGTCACCACTCTGGCTGCCACGTTCTGGATTAGTTGTAGTTTCCGGGTCACCTTCAAAGGTAGCCCCACATAGAGAGCATTGCAGTAGTCAAAACGGGAGATAACCAGAGCATGCACCACTCTGGCGAGGCAGTCCGCAGGCAGATAGGGTCTCAGTCTGCGTACCAGATGGAGCTGGTAAACAGCTGCCCTGGACACGGATTTGACCTGTGCCTCCATGGACAGCTGTGAGTCCAAAATGACTCCCAGGCTGCGCATTTGCCACACTTACCCATAGCATCTTAGATTTTAGAGTTGGACAGGACCATGAGGGTCATCTAGGCCATTCGCCTGTAATGCAGGAATCCTTTGCCCAATGTGGGACTCCAACCTGTGACTTTGAGATTAAGAGTGTCTCTGCCTTGCTGCATTTGAACACCGGGTTGTTTGTTGGGCTTCATCCAGGGCATCTCGGCTGTTCAACTGCATCACTTGTTTCCGAAAACACTATTGTTCCGACAGGCTTCCCCAGATGGATAAATGGGTCTGGATCTATACAGATAAAAGAAACACGACAGGAAGAAACGTCATAAGAGCTCTTTACTGAAAATCCCATTGGAGGCAGATTACTTCTCTACAGCGCCATCCAGTGTCGCATATTTATAATGCAATTATAATGATGTATTTGGCTAGTGTAGCTGAGTCCCGTGTGTGTCCATTTGTTAGGGTTTTAGTCTTGTTTTAAATGTTTAAATGTTATTTTTTGTGTTTTTAACTATTTTATGTGTAAATTGCCTTGAGATGGTGGTTTAGAAGGCAATAGATAAATAAACTGCAGCAATAATAATAATAATATTTTTCTCCAAAGTCTAAACTCAACTTAACTGGTTTATATCGATATATATCTATGCTTGAGTTATTTTAATTAGGGAAATTTTACCCCTCTGTTTACCCACACACATTAATTTATTTAAACCAATTTTTTTTAACCCTACTCGTTAGCAAAAAAAACAAACAAAACAAAAAACTCTATGAGCAACTTACAAATATTGGTGGCAAAGTCAATGCTTGCCCTTCTGCTTGTGGATGGTGGTGGGGAGTCGTGACATGCAAGGAAAAAGGGATGCGGAGGGAAGAGAGAGGGAGTGCTTAAAGCTATAGTTCTTCTAACAGGCAGATGGGATGGAAATAGTTCCGGTAGCTTGGTGACAGCTGAAGGAGGATCTGTCAGCAGAAGCAGTGGAAGATTCCTACTTCGCTACTCTCTCTGTTTCTGTGCTTTGCAGCACGATGATTTTGTGTAAGATGCGCTGGTGTGGTGGTGATTTTTTAAAAAGGGATCTAAATTATATAAAGTCCTAGTTTCTTGTCTAAAGAGCTAAACAATTGCCTGTAGAAAGTGGATCTATAGTGTTACTGAAGAGTTGTAATCCTCTCTTAATAAGTGGGGAAAGAGCTAATTATTTGTTTCCAAAGCAAACGTGCACCTTATCCTTAATTTAGCGAAAATACCAAGCAAG